AAGGTGGGTCCCACCTAACCCTGACAACCTTCTAAAACATCTTTTATGCCATTTCAAGGTTTTCAAGCCATAAAAAATAATCTTAAAAATTCTTAAAAATTCTTAAAAATATTTAAAAACACAAGAACATAAATAAATCTCAAAACAATATTATGATGTTTTGAAAATTTCTAAAACACTCAGAAATAACTCTAGAAATGGACTGGTACCAATGGGTCAAAAAAACGAGACTGTTAAGGCACTCCACCTATGCTAGTAACCACTAACCATGATCTACAACTATCTTCTAAAACAAACCCAGCAGGTGAACCATATCCATGTGCATGGGCTCATTATTAGCCCGTCAATGCTAGCCAATAAATAAAGGAACCATAGTCATAATATGTGGATTACATGTTCACCCCTATATGCAAGTCACATGCACATGTAACTATAGTGCAAGGTGGACTCTCTCTATATGCATGTACCAGTGTTTCAAAAAGAGCTAGGCAGCACCTAGGCGGTCGGAGGGGTCCAGGCCGTCCAGCGCCTAGGCGGGCGCCCAGAACCTGAGTGGCCCAAAAAAAAAAAAAAAATTTTGGGGGTTTTTCTCTCTCTAAAATAGCCTCTAATGGGTTTTAGGTTCATTTGAAACCTAAAACCCACAATTTTGCACCTTTAGTATTAAAAAAAATGACCCCAAATGACCCAAAAATAGCCTGAACGAGCGGCATTTCTGCCCCTGGGCGGCCGCCCATGCAGCCACTTAGGCGGGTTCCCAGGCACCTGAGGATACCCTCCTAATTTGGCCGCCTAGGCCTGAGCGATGCTCCCAAGCCTTTTGGACCGTCTAGGCGGCCGCTCATGTACTAGGCAGTCTGCTTTTTGAAACACTAGCATGTACACATATCCCTCTATGAGGCTGCTTCCCAGAATGCAGTTATCATATGTACATGCCATATGGAAGTTCATTGAGGATTTGGCCCTCACTCTCAGAAGCTTACAACTGCACACAGGAGACCGCGAAGCTCTTCTAGCCTACAAACCATCCCTAAGCATGTCTCCGACCTCAACAAAGGATAACCCTCCTAAAACCCTCAATTGTAGTGCCTCTACCGAAGGGAAAAAGTTTTGGACAGGACCCAGGCCATAGACTACCCAACTCTAGGTCAGTCAACCAACATACATTCCCACTGAAGTGCCTTTATCTATGCTGCATTTGCAGCCACAAAGCCACCAAGACTGGAAAAGGAAACTATAATGGATTCTTGAGATTCCCCACATCACGTACGGACTATCGTTAACATAGGAATTGTTGTCGACGGGTACCTTCAATATGCTAATGGGATGATCGGCGAAGTCGTTTTTGGCACCAACTATTTGCTAGTGGTTCTCATCCTCTGATTAAGTCAGGGGCGCAATTCTCATGGAATTCCTTCCTGATCAATGCCCATGAGATTATGAGATAACTAATTCTCCTAAAATTTGATTTCCTCCCAGATTGTTTGCCTTGAAATATACATTTGTTTCATTCTAGCCATAATCCCCAGAAGTGACATCACTAAGCAGCCATATTGTTGTACCCTTTTGAAAGAATGGTTCATTTTTCCAACTGGTTAAGACTAAAGCCATTCATTCTGAGAAAACCAATTGCACCAGAAGAATACCCGTAATCTGAAGTTCCAACCCATGTAACCCGTGCAAATGAACAATGTCACGTGATGTTGTACTGATTTCCTAAGCCCCCAAGAGCATCACACAAAGAAAACTACATTGTTATATGTTATGCTTTGCTAAGCACCATAAGATATCATAAACATAAAACTCAGGAGGGTTGGTGGTTGTTGGGATGGTCTTCCACCAGTCGGTCCCTGCCTGGAGCCTCAACAATAGGTGAAAGAAAATCTGTGAATGATTTAACCGAGAACTTAACACTAGCATCATTTATTCATATGAGTCCATTTGCCCCACGCCTAGGGAAATAGGTTGGGTGAGGCACTCCATGATACTATACATGTCCTCAGTCTCATGATTGGCCAAGTTTTTTCCCCATGATTTTTTCTATTGTTTCCATTACTCCCTATTTTTTTTATATTTTTCCCTTTTTTCTGTATCTTGCTTGTTTTTCCCCTTTTCTAATTAGAGGTTGATTTCCAAAATATAATGATAGTTATTATTATAAAATCGACATGGACCGAGCCTGTCGCTTTCCATTATGCCTCTTTTTAAAACCTTTGATTTCAATCACCTTTTCCCAAGAAAATGAGAATCATTTACTGCTTTAATTATGAGAAACTTAAAATAATAACATGTTGCTATTTACTCTTATATATCAGAGATTTTGCTGTGTAAACAATTTAGGATGAAAAAATCTTGGTAAAATGAACAAGAGGCAAGCATTACCACGTAGGTTATTGAGGACTGTGGTTTTCTATATCTATTTTACTTGATCCCTTTTATCATTTTATAATCCCCATCTAAACTCATGAATATGGTTACCTTTTATATTTGCTAACTCATTATTTTCTCCATTGTTATTCCCAGAAAAGCTGGTATCACCTTCCTCTTAACATAATCTTGTAACCCCTTATTCTTTCCGTTGTTATCTCTGCTAAATAATTAATTAACTACTTATCCTCTAAACTATTTGCTCATTTGAATCACTTTTTCACAGATAGATGGGTGGATTCAGGTGAGATCCAATGTACATTTAACTTTCTATTCACTCATGAGATACAAGAGAGACCACCATAACAACCATTGTCAATATTTGCACAGCATCTGTCTCTTAAGCAGGGGTTGAAGTTGGTTTTCAATGGGGAAAATGGAGCACCTAACTACATAGCTTCACAGACCGATGATCAAGAACAACAAGATCACCATTTTCATTTTGGGGTGATGGAGGGAACGTACCCTCGCGTTTTTTTCTTCTTATGTCTCCTTGGTCTTCAGAGAAAGCAGTAATTAATAGGATTTTCCGAATATTCTCTTCCCAAAAGGAAGAATATAAAATTATTTTGCCTTTTCACAAGGACCAAGATATTGAATGCAGCCTTATAAATGAAAGAATGCTTGGTATAAACAACTCACATGAAAATGCCATTAGGCCATAGATGTTCATTGGTTTATTAAATCACCCTTTTTTATCCTTTGTTTACTACCCCTTTTTCTCGCTTGTTTCATTATTTGGTCCCCTCCTCCCTCCCTCCCTCCCCCCCTCCCTCCCCCCTTCCTCACCCTTTTGTATCCTCTGTTTCCTACCCCTTTTTCTCCTTTGTTTCATTATTTGTTCCCCTCATCCTTCCCTCCCTCAAAAGGAAGAAACTTCAGCCAAATAATCTCATAAGTAGTCAAGGCAATATCTTAGGAGTCACATGCACGAGAGGTGTACACCAGAATAAGAAAAAAGAGATTTTAGCCAAATAAGCTCATAAGTAGTTAAGGCAAAGTCCAGGTAATCAAACTCTGCACTTGATAGAAACAACATATTGCTTGCTCCTCTAACTTTCAAGTGACTAGATTGCCTCGAAGTTTCCAACTAATGTGCCGTATCCAGTAGTACAATGGCAATTTATGGAGCAGCCTGCCCAAATCTGCAATGGAATAACCAACCAGATCAAGTCTGGTATTTCATGAGAAAGGATCCCCTCAAGATAATACTGGATCAGGCGACTCCATCCAATTGAGTAGATCGTCATGCATGTGCACGATTGACTCGTCAAACTCATAATGCATCTAATGGCTACTATGCAATCGTCAATAAAAAAGCTTATATACCAGCCACTAATACAGATCAATTTCACACTAAATACAGACAAATATCCTTTACGGAGTGCCAGAAACAAGTCAAGTCTGCTCCCAATTCTATTTCTAAGTCAATTGACTTGGTTGTGAAGGGGTCAATATATCTCCAAATCATGTGAAGTCCTTCCAAATACGTAACTGTTTTCACTATAGCTCCATATAGTTAAGGGCTCACTTATGCAATCATGGAATTCATAAATGTCTTTCTTTCTCATTTGTTATGTAAAAGATGATAATATAATTTGTCAAACCCCATGAGATTCATAATTCATAATATCTCTAATCAAACTGAGGAGAAAATTCGTGTGCAAACAATGCAAAACCAGGTTGCACGCCACTAAATATCTCAATGAATTATCTGGACCAATCATTTTTTCCATGAGAATGCTGACAGCAACAATAAAGTTCTTACAACATTTTTTGGAAATATTAATTTATTTTGTTCTATCAACTATAATAGGAGGGAGAATCAAGCTCAAATTTGCCAATTCAAAAAAGAAAAACAAAAGAAAAAAAAATTCAGTTGAAAATCCATATCCACCATAAAGAAAGATGAGAAATTTGCATTAACTTAAATCCGAAACTAGAGCGTACGCAACTTCATTTAAATAATTCATGCAACAGAAACCCAAGGACTTCCCAAAATCTCACATTATAGGCTTCCCAAGAAAAAATGATAAAACACATATTAAACATTCATTAATTTCGCAAAAGGAAAGTCCAAAGAAGATGAGTGGTAGGGCACTAGATTTAATCGAGTCAGGAAAGCCCAAAATTCAAAACATATGCTTCAGAATATAGAAAGAAACAAAACAAATCAACTCTATTCTAATTGAACTCCAAACGAGACCCTTACCAGTTTGTTCAGGCTACCCATCTCTCTATAAACTCATGAGAAACAAATAACCGGGTGAAGCTCTTGAGCAGCCCCTCACAGAGCATACTTCCATAGTTAAACACAAAACAGACTAGCGTAGAACCATTAAAAAACTACCTTTCCATAAGAAACCCACAAAAATGGTTGAAAAGATGAATAAATGAGGTGAAATGGAAGAAACCCACAAAGCATTTCCACTAATAACCACCATAACCTTGAGTAAAGAAATAGAGAGTACAGGCAAGATCACTATTACTTAAATAGTGTATTGGTAGAAGCATACGGTTTTCTTCCAGAGGTTTATCATCAAAAAAAAAAAGAGAGTACAGGCAAGCCGTACCAATATCTAACCGACTTGCATCGAGAGCATCGAGTGGTTGCAGGACTGAAACATCTAGCGCAGGTGAGAGAGCCGTTAAAGGAAGAGTAGGCAGGTGAGGAAGCTGCATTCAAAGAAGTAGTCTCCTCCACTCTCAGGGACTCTTCAGCCACTGAATCAGCAAGCTTCCTTATCCTCTCTCTCCTGTTCAGGGCCTCCTTCCATTTCCCAAGCAAGAAGTAAGTGAATGAAGTGATTAAGATCAGTGCCAACAACAGGGCAGGCGCTTGGGATTCTCTTTGCTGAAGCATATCCCCTCCAACATGATATTCATATCAAACCACTCTACTCACTCTTCAAAAAGGTACCACCTCTCTCTCTCTCTCTCTAAATACCCACCCTCTCTCTCTCTCTCTCTAGACTCTGATACACAAATCAAGCCCCCATTTTGTAGATTTGCAGAAATACAATAGAAAAGAAAATAAAGAGGGGAAGAAAGAAGAAGTGTAAAAGAAAGATACTAACTTTTCAGTGAGAAATGGAAAATAAACTGAGAAAAAAAATTTTGGGTCCAAAAGTAAGATTCAATTCATGTATCATGGAAAAGAAAACAATGGGGAGGGATGGTTTTAGCGTCTGCACCACGAATTAGACATGCCGCGCTCTCTCTCTCTCTGGAACTGGTGCCCTTCTCAATAATTTCAGTCTCACGACGCAGGGATGTCTTACTAAGAAAAACGCTTAGAGCAGCTAACACCCAAAAAATGACGCTTACCCAATTTTAGTAAAATAAGGGTAGGTGAAAAATGACGCTTACCCAATTTTAGTAAAATAAGGGTAGGTGGTGAACCCAATTTTAGTAAATAAGTGCAGGTGAACCTCAAAAAAAACCTCTCCCTCTCTCACCTCAAACAAATAAAAAAACTCGTTGTTTTTTTGACAAATAAAAGAGCGACAATGGCTTAAAAAAACCCCAATACATACTATCTAAACACACTACCCCCATCCTAAACTTTCTTCACTTATTTTTTTCAAAAACTATCTTTTATAACTAACACCCCAATCTAAAAAAAAAGACAAAATTACCCATTTCCTACATTTTTTCCCTCTCCTCGGTCCGGCTTTTGTGAGCATCGATCCAGTGTTTGCGTAGGCAGTCTGGCGTTTTATGAGCACAGTCCAGCGTTCTTGTTATTATAATAAAATCACTATGTCGTTTTGATGCAATTGTTTGGCAACTAACTTACTGGAGTAGGTAAGTCCAGCATTTACATTGCATGGTCCGGCGATGTTTCCTGTTACAATGCGCTATTTGGCGTTTCAAGGGTTCGCTCCGGTAGAGGTATTTCTAGATGGGTTAGTCGGCCAGTATATGTGCCTGGTCTGGCAAGTTGTTTACTATAATGTGGGCAGTCCGGCGATTGGAAATAGTGCTCCGACATTCGATGTTTGCAATGTGCGGTCCGGCGTGTGGTTCTGGAATGATGTTAAGTTCAGCGTTTCACAGCTGCGCTCCGACATTAGGGTCGATCTATCCAGCACTGGGAGGATGTAGTCTGACAATATCTTAATCGCGGTCCAGCGTTATGGAGCTTTGCTCTGGTGATTTTGTTACTGGAGACGTAAGTCCAGCATTTCATGGTCTCGGTCCGGCGTTTTAAATTCAGGAGTAGGTTGGTACGGTGTTAGTAATCTACTGCCCGGCGTTTCATTGTCTAAATAAGCAGTTTGGTATTGTAGAAATGCAGTCTAGCATATGTCATATGTTTGTACAATGAAGGTATGGGAATGGGTATTTTCGTCAAAAAAGATGTAACTTTGAGTTGGGGGTATTAGTTAGAAAAGATGGTTTTTGAGAAAAAAAGTAAGAAAAATTTAGGGTGGGGGGTAGAATGTCTAAAAAGTATATTTTTCGAAGATTTCATCAATTTTCTCAATAAAGAACTCTCTTTTTTAAGTCAAAAAAACTTTGATTTTTTTTAGTCAACTCTCTCTCTAATAAGTGTAGGTGAACCTCAGCCAAAAACAGAAACCCATCTCTTTCTCAAAGTAATACCAAGAAAAGGCTTATAGGACTTGGCCAAGCAAAATAACACTCATCCAAGTTTGTCCCCAGATCTCTCTCTCTCTCGATAAAATATGAGTATTGACCTGTTGGGATCCAATCTAAGTCTCAAGTGCGTGATGTCTCTCTCCATCTCTTTCTCTATCTCTCTCCATTCTCTTTTTATTTTTTTTTGCCCAAAGATATTCTACTCCTTCAAGAATATATTATTTATTTACTCTCTCAAATAAAACCCCACCTAGGTTTAGTTTTAAGACCGCAAGTTTTAGGGGTATAACCTCTTTAACACATGGATTAACTTCAATAAAAGAAATTTTTTCTAATTGCACTTTCGAAACGCTTAAAAATGGTAATGTATCAAGATTGAGTAGAAGCTGACTAATTTTTAGAGGGTAACATCTATGTGTTAAAAGACTCAATTTTCTTTTTTTGTAGAATAAGCATCCAAGGATTTTAAGGTGGTTACCAAAATTTCATAGTAAGAAAATCCTCTAAAGTAGGTCATCTAACCAAGGGAGTATAAATAAAATTACACTCCCAAAGAATCACAGAATACATTGTTGTTGTTGTTTTTTTTTTTTTTTTTTGAAGGACTAAACATATCCTGCCTCTTTCTCTTTCTATCCAACTCTGTACTCTCTAACCACGATATTGACCTTAAGTAATAATCTCTCTTAAGACTATTTAATCAGAGATTGTCTACAAAGAGAGCATTTATCTTTGGTATAGAAAGGTCACAATCATTCTTGTCCGTTAGGTTTCAAAATAAACGGTCGTAAGAGTATCATTGATTAGATACAAAGTTCTAAAAATAATAATTTTTCGAGCTTCATGCTCACCCCAAGCCATTTAATTTGGCACCTAATGATTATATATAGTCGCCACCTTCTTATAGAAAAGATAAGTGATCTCTTAATCTTATATGCATTAGTAGTCAATTGGAGAACCATTTCTCAACCTAAAAAAGAAAAGTTTGCCCTGTTACACAAGCCCCTCTCTCTCTAAAAAAGGTTTTCCCTCCTACACCAGCCTCTCTCTCTCTAAGATAGTGGAAAGCCAACGAATCTCATCTTTTGTCCTCCACGTGTAGGAAGCAAATATTCACATTAGCATGCGTATTCTTCATCCGGCGTTATACGCGGGAGAACATCACACATTCTCTATTTTCAAAAGTTTCTTTCACAAATGCCAAGCACTAACTTAATAATCACAACAATGCCCAGTATCACTCTCACAATAGATATTTGTATTTTAAGTCAATGATTTTTTTTACTTTTAATCATGGAAAATGGTTTGATAGGGCTGCAGCTCTATCAAAATAAATAAATCCTCACCTCATAACTCATTGAAAATTGCAAGTTAAACATTTTGCAGCCCTATCAAAATAAATAAATCCTCACCTCATAACTCATTGAAAATTGCAAGTTAAACACTGAAAAATGTTTACATCGATCATCTCAACTAACCATTATGGTCGTGAAAACAAATAGGGTTTTATTGTCTAAAATTTGCGTATATTATCACAAATTATCTATTCTAGATTGCCATTTTGCCTTAAAAATAAGTGTTCACATACCCGCAAGATCTGTATCCTTTTTTTTCGTTTCAAATTTTATTGTTGGTGTTGGAAATTAATTTTAGAGCCATCATAGGGATTTCCGTCGTCAAAATTACTTTCCAAATAAGGATTTGAGGTGAGGCTTTATTTTGTTTTCATAAAGCCTAGGCGTAATAGAGGCGTCATCCATTAATCATTATTGATGCTCAATAATAAATGGTCCATTTTCGCTTAATATTGTGCGTGTTTTAAGTTATAAAAAAGTTTATATAGAGCCGAGGCTCAATCAAATTTTAGCCCAAATAAAATATTTCACTAGAATAGGTTATTTTGATGCCCAACTATCCTCAATTGATCATCTTGACATCAAGATGCATGATGGACATGAGAAAAAAAATAGATTTCAAGTTTTGAAAATAGTGCATCTTGTAACGCATTTTTTTACTGTCAATTTTTAAGGCTTTCACAAAGATTTTTAGTATTGAAACCACATTTCTCGACACTATTTGAAAGTGCTCTTTACTTTGATTGTTTAGAGCCTCATCTCTATACAAACTACACCCTTTAAATTAACGATTTTTTATACTTTTATTAATACTCAATAATAAAAGGGAAAATATCTCCTTACCCCATATTTTTAAGTTTCATTTCTTAGTAGACTTTAGGTTTCAAAACATATCTTGAGGCATAGTAATTTTAGGTTTTATATCTTCTAACCCCCTAGAATAATTTTTACCCACTTTAAATTTATTTTTAGCCTAAACAAATTTAAGAAAGACATATACTTTCTAAATCTTTTCCTTTCTATTCCCCAAACTTCTCTCTCTTTCTCTCTCCCATGAGTCTCACCAAATATACCATCCTTTCTTTCTCTTCCCCAAACTTCTCTCTCTTTCTCTCTCCCATGAGTCTCACCAAATATACCATCCTTTCTTTCTCTTCCCCAAACTTCTCTCTCTTTCTCTCTCCCATGACTGCCTCCACTTGAGCACTGGCCATGGTCGGTTCCGGTGGTGTGCAGTGTATAACAGGAGGCACACACTCATTTCCCCAAGGAGGGCAAGACTTTAATACACTTAGTTTGAGGAATTGAAAGGGTTTATGGATTTCAATTTTACATTTGAAGAGAGCGAATTGAGTCCTAGATTGAAATCCATCATCCCCGAACTCCAGAGGATGGTAAAGAAGAAGGAGAAAGAGAATAAGAAGCAAGAAAAAGAGAATAAAAATATTTCCAGACCATACTTATCAGACGCATAGTCAGTGAGAAAACCAGAGAGCTAATTGATTTAATGGAAAATGCCTGAATTGAGCCAAGGCATGGATGTGAAGGAGCATCTCAAACTTTGGGCTTATAATGTTGCCTCTACAATTAGATAATGAGAGAGAAATCAAGGTTTATAACCATTTTTCTGCCCAAAAGAAGTTGATCTTTGTTGTCTAATCCATGTGGCACTAAATGTAGTTCTTAAATTATGAAAGTGGGTGGTGTCTGCAAATTAGAAGAGCTTGTAAAGGCCTGCTTTTTGAGCTTCCTCAAGAGAAGAAGGGAACATTTTATTCTTGCTGTTTTTTGGCGAGTAAATGTGTAGTGTCTCCCTTGATCAGCAGTGAGGGGAAACCTTATCGCTTGTTTTTGTGTTTGTGGGAAACATAGGGGGAGAAAGAGAGAGGTTGGGGAAATACTGAGAGAGAGAGGGACAGGTTTGGGGAATCATGGAGGGAGTGTGTGGGAGACATGGGAAGAGAGAGAATTGAAGAAAAGAGAGAGAGAAGGGGTTTGGGGAATATCTTGAAGAGGGAGAAAGGTGGGATTTAGAAAGTGTATATCTTTCCTATATTTGTTAGGGCTAAAAGATAGGTTTAAAGTGAGTAATGTTAGTCAAGGGGTTAGAAGATACATTTTGAAATCCTAGGTCTATGGAGAAATGAAGCCTAAAAATGGAGGTATGAAGATATTTTTCCATAATAAAATGTATGTTTTGGGGCTTAATATACACATCGGGAAAGCATAAGACCATTTTGTTTTGTTCTTTTTTGCTTTTTTTTTTTTTAATGTTAATTAGATTTGATTTAAATGATGAAAATGACATCAACAAAAAAATAGCAAAGAAAAGAAAGAGCAAAGGCATGGAAATATAAAAACCAACACAAATCAATTACATTCAAGCATAATGCCTTTTTGTTAGGAGGTCACAATCACCACTAGTTTGGCATAAATAAATTTTAGAAGGAAAAGTATACAA